GACCCCAATTATTTTCACTTCCGGAGAGACCCTTTTCACATAAGCAGCAATCCCGGCTATTAGCCCACCGCCACCCACAGGCACGAATATTGCTTCTATTGGGCCTTTCATCTGCCTCACAATTTCCATCCCAACAGTCCCTTGGCCCGTGATAACATCCGGATGGTCAAAAGGAGGGATAAATGTTCGGCCCTCCTCTTCGGCCCGTTTTTTTGCATAGAACTGGGCTTCATCGTACGAGTCTCCAAACAGTACAACAGTTGCCCCTAATCTTTCAACTGACCTCCACTGGTATCATCAAAGGAAGGGATTAAGAAGAAAGAGCGCTTCAATCAAACATGGAGCAAAAGTAACTAGTTAATGAATTAAGGATGGACCTTTATTTCAGGTGTAGTGACAGGCATAACGATCACAGCATTGCAACCTAGTTTCTGAGCGGATAATGCCACGCCCTGTGCATGGTTTCCAGCTGATGAACATATTACTCCTCTTTCAAGCTGTTCTCTTGGGAGCTTTGCCATCATATTGTAAGCCCCTCGAAGCTTGAACGAGAAAACCTGTAGTGTGGATTCTTAGCAGGTTTACTTCATACTTACACTGTACACAGACCACCTTTTATGCCTAAATGTCTAAATTATTTCCAGTTCTCATCGTAAACAAATCATCTGGCTCAACTCTTTCACTTCCCAGAATTACGAAGGCTGCAAATATGTATATTAGAACATAGTACGCTATAAATATGAACGAATTCGCACACTTTTAACTCGCGTACTCCATGAGAATAGAAAAAAAATGCCAAATTAAGAGAGTAATTAGCAACTATCATCACACAGTAAAAATTGACATTCCGAAAAAACAATACGTACGGGCTGAAAATCCTCTCTCTTGAGCCAGACATTGACACCCCACCTCTCCGACAGCTTGGCCGCCAGCTGCAAAGGTGACTCCACCGCCACGTCGTACACTTTCGACGACAGAATATTCGTCAGATACTCCATGGCGCTCAGAGTGCCTTTCCCGGCCGCCCCACCGCCCGATTTTTCATTGGGCACCAGAAACCCGCTCTCGCACTGCAGCGATCCAGGGGAGACACTCGGAAGAGGCTTCTCCGCCACAATAGGAGGAGGAACAGGAGGAT